GTTTCGGGAGGGAAATCAACAAAATTTTAATTGAATTCAGGATATATTTGATTGTGGCGATGTTTGACAGGTCATAACAATAAGTGTGATGATTAATTCATAGTCTTAAAAAAAACTGTGGAAGTAGCATTTTGGATAAATTTGTCAAAACCCACTCTAATTTAAATTCAAACTTGGAAAGCCTGTAAATGTTCCTATTGTAAAAAAATATATGAATGATCAATGAAGAAATCTGATTATACCGTAGCAACGCAATATTTCCAAAATACGAATATATTATAATAGAACTATGACGTAAAAATTACCCCGAAATAATAGTAAACATAAGGAAATTATCCATAACTGACAACGCCGCAACCAATTTTGATTTTTTTTGCAGCGATAAAAAGGCAAAATATGTCGGAATTGATTTGTGGATAAAAATACAGGGTGTTCCATTTGAAAAATTCTACTGAATGTCATCTGAATCTTGCACAATTCTAAATGCAGAATTGAGCACCCTGTTGAAGAACATGTCGCAAAACTACTGAATTGGTATATGTGAGACCTTGCTATACTACCGTATTCCGAAAATATTTTCAAAATTTGAATAAATAAATATACCATGCCCAATGCAATAAGACTCTTCAATAGAGGTGAAAATTTATTAATCAATCATAACTTGGCAACGCCGCAACCGATTCCAATTTTTTTACAGCAATGAGAAGGTGAACCTCGGCGGAATACATTCCGAATAAAAAAAACTGGGTGTTTCATTTAAAAAAAACTCGTCTCCGAGTTGTCCCGCTTTTATGAAACACCCAGTAATGTTGAAAATATTTTTGAAACAAGCAACTTTGGTAAGTGAGAAAGTTTTTCCTTCAGAGTTTTTCTCTATAGGTCATGGCTTTCGAGATATCGAAGAATTACGCACTAAATGGACACACTGTATAGGGTGTTCAATTGAAAAAAATCGAAGTTGATGTCTTTTCTGGAGAAACCAATGATTCTGTATATGAAACAACTTCATGAAATAAAAGCTTGGGTCGTTTGACACAACTTTTTCATTCAACATTTTTTCATATCTCTGAAAACGAAAGTTAAAAGGAGGCGCACCCTGTACATGAATTTACCATCAGAAATATCGCAGAAAAAAAATCAAAATAGACGTATTTCAGTGTTTTCCATGAAACGTGAGCATAATGAATGTATGACATATATTTGGAATACTTGAAAATCACCTCCCATTGCAATTGAAAGAAATATTTCATAATATTGTACTATAGAAATATATACACGTCACGAAAATATTGTTTTATCTCTTGGAGTACGAAACGAAATTCCTATAATGTTCGTGCAACATCATGCGTACCTAGGAATATTCCAAAATTTGTAACTCAATTTTTTTGTTCACTGAAAAGTTTCTGGTTTTGGTGATTTTGAGTTTTCTCTGGAAAATTGCTATCATAATAGGTAATATTATATTGCTGGTTATGTAAAATAGATTCAAAATTCTTACCTTTTTTATATCCAGAATCATTTTTGCAGAGGAACCATCAGCTATACGATATTACTATGAAGAATTCACAATCCACTATATTGTATCGGCAGAGTATCGTTCTTGTTTAATTTGTGTAGTAGCCCTGTATTAGTGTTATAAATGCACTACTGGTATAGTCACTAATGAATATCAATTATTATGAAAGAGAAAGTATACCCGACTACTTGACCAGTGTTTCTTAAGAACCTGACATAATTAACAGCATTAGGTAATATGTAATAGCATTTATAGTCGATGATGATGGACAAAGTTCATAATCATTGAAATAAAAATCTATTAGTTGTAGGGGTATCCATTATTGACCAATCATGTTATGAATCATACTATTTTCAAATTGGCCAAGCAAGAAACGCATTTCTATTTTGAATTCTAGTAAGTATAGCTATTATTGATGTAATATATCGGAAATCTTGTGAATCAATAATTTGATAATAATAGTACCTCTGTGTAGCTACGTAGGTACCTACTTATCCTTTATTAATAAAAAGTTAATATCAAACATTCACATTATATTCGAATAATTGAGTAATGAAGTCATGATTCGTACTGCTTTTGAATTCGATCATTGTAAAATTTCATCCATGACATTGAACTTGTTCTTCTGAATACCTAATTTACAGGAAGTTACTTTCTCTTTCTTTAGATTGCCGTAAGAGTAAGAAAGTGTTGTATAAGTTTCACATTCATCGGTAGTCAGTTGGTTTGGTAATTCTCTTCGGATCGAATCGTCTTTGTTCAAAATGTTCAAGTGCTGGTTTTTGGTGAGTACAAATTGAAAAATATTAATGAAGTATAACTATCGAAATGGGAAAAACGTGTACTTATACCTTCCTATATTCATTTAGTAAGTATAACTGTCTAAAAATAGTTAGCTGTTAAAATCATAATTGAATTTTTCCCAATATTTCCAAAACTTGATACTTCTATTGATCTTGGTGAAGGTATTGATAGTCAAAAATTTAAACAAAATTATTTTGAAAATCTAAACTTACTCTTATAAGAGTTGTGACATTTCCTTTTTTAAAGATTATAATGTATTTTTCTTACCCAGAATTCAAATGTGAAACAATAAAATTAATGTGTTGTATTCCGGTCAAATTATTTCCTCTTTCAATTATTTGAATGCTGTTTTTTTAATATCAGAAATATATCCCACTTGTTTCATATAAACCATCACCAAGCCCAATATAACATATTAAATTTTTCACGAAGCTAAGTAAATATGATTTTGTTTCATAAAACCCGTGCCCAAGAGGGTTATATGAAACGCGAAAAATATAAAAAAATAACAAATAGAATGGCGTATAAAAAAACAAGAGAAATACATGTAGAATATACCTTCATATATCCTTCAAATTACCGCGAATATTTGGATGCGTTCCGATTTTTCTGAACCGGAATAATCAGTAAAATGTTAAAAACCGGCAGGTCTCTCACTGGTTAAAAAAAACAAACATAATAATGCTAAAGCCATACCTTTTGCCAGAAGGGGTTTCTCGAAATTGTTCCGTCATTTTTCAAAAGAAACACTCATTGGTTCCTATACAGAAATGAGATTTTTTTTACAAATCAGTGCAGATTTTGGTGTAACTAACCATATTTTGTCAAAATTATCCCCTTATGGCTCATACTTCTAAGACAAACCTTGAAATATTACTGATGATGATGCATAACCAATAAAAAAACGAACAAACCTTATACAGGGTGATTTAAAGAGATAATGATGACACGCATTTTTAATAATGTACCTTTTTTATTGTTCAGTTTTTTGAAAATAGTTATTTGATGAAGTTGTTTATTTTAACGAGTTCTATACTCTCAGGTTCAACTCGTCTAACTTTGACAATCGATAGCAAAAATTGAAATATTATACAAGTATTATTTTGTTTTGTCGCGGAGAAACTTATTATATTAAAGTTTGCATTTTTGGTTTTTACTTTTTATCTCAGTTTGAGCTGAATGTCTATCTTACATCAAATTATCGTTCGAATTGAATATTGAATGACTCACGGACACGAACAATTCATTTTTTTTATTGATCATTTTCTATATTCAACAATGTCCAAAGCACACCATATGATAATAATATTCAATGATACCAATCGCGTATGCTCGGCAGAAGATGTGCCTGATATGATTTTCTCAATAACTCGGGAACTGAGAAAGATATTGAAGCAACTGAAGTGCGGTGGAGTAATGATCATGATTTTCCATTAGGTTCAATCCCCTACAACGTCACAATAAGAAAATCTGATGAGTTCGATGTCAGTAAAAAAGAGTATCAACTTGGGAATCATCCTGTATATTGATTCAAATCACATCAGTCGAGAATTGTTCTCAGTCATCTTGAAGTTAAAACTTTCGAGATATCACAAATTGATCTCAGGATATGAAAAAATCGTATACTTTCACTGATATCCAATTTGGTATTGAATCAATATTTTATATTTTAGCTATTTTCAACACTGGCCATTTTCACTTTATACATTGAGGCATCCTTCCAACCAAGGGCTCCTAATTTTCAGTACTTTGAGAGGTGAGTGATCAACATCAAAATATGACCACTCCTGATGTTTTACATGGTTCTTGATGAAGTTCGAAATTGACGCATACTCTTTTTGAAACTGGAAAAACATCAAATTATTTCGAGGTAGTGTCACAACCCAAGACCTAGAACCGGCCTAAGGACAACCCTTTCATGTCTGCCTCACTACTAAATGCCTCTGACACTGAATAATTAAGTGTTTCCATAGAAGCGAGCATTTTTTGAGATATGACTTGAAATGATTTATAGTTTTTTTGAAGTTGTCAATCAATTATTCCTAAAATAGAAAAGTATTCGCATCTCGTCGTATAATAATATCAATCTAAGTACCCACGAACTGTTTACCATAACATTCAATGTTATATTGGCGCCCAACGTAGTATGGTATTTGATTGAGTAGCTATTATTCGAGAGTTCCATTCGAATAGTTTCCATTGTGAATAAAAACCAGTGGTTCGTTCTCATTGCTTTTCGCGTGCTAGTGCTTCTACGGTGTAGGACACGTTCAGACGGAAAGACTCTATTCCATTTGGTTTTGTGCAAAACTCAGGATCAGCAGCAACAATTTCGATGGTAATTTAACGAAAATATCTTTGAAAAGGAAAACTGTGAGTGAACTTTCCTCATTCAATACCACACTGTAACCGTGGATATTCCAAAGACAATTATTCATTCGCTGCGTTCGCGCGATATTGAAATAGCTGAGGAAATAACTTTACCAGATTCGAGATATTTTTCGGTACAAGAGGACAATACGAACTCTAGTTGTCAAATGACCGTTACGCTGACCAACGAACAATTCCAAGAATTGTTGAATAGACTTACTACTACTACTTAATTAATGAATGAGTTATTAGTACATATTTGGTACAGATGTTATGCTTATATTACCTATGTTTCTTTTCAATGTTTTAGGCCCAAGTACCGATACCCTTACTATGACGCAAATGGCGTGGGAAGGCTTCTCTATGGTTATGGAGACGATAAATTGTATCAATATAAAGTATTTTCACCTTTAGAAGGAATTCATTAGACTAACTTGTAGATACATTTTTTTCATATCTAAAAGTAGGTATCACTGTGTTCATATCAATTGAGTTTTTGTATTTTCAATAAAATATTATAATTTTGTTGAATTTCCATACCTTAGCAATAAGAGATAATCAAACACGCATGGGTTAGGTCGGTTAGGATTACATCGAAAGGCAGCTCACTTGATATTTAGCCGTCATTGACATCGAAAAAGCATTATTTAATGAGTATTCTAAGTCGTACGATCTAAGAGTTTATAACTATTTTCTTCACAGGTAGGTATTTGAGAAAATAGTTATTTAATATCCAAAGAGAATCTCCACGATTTTGTGCTTTCCTCATTGGATATGATCCCTGTCACTCCACTTTGAGCAACAATGGACTTCTACCCACGTTTAAATAGTTATTTGTTTCAATAGGCAGAAAAGCACAAGATTTAATGCCGCGACTGGGATTACATAGCCAAAGCGTAGCTGGGGCTAGGAAACCAGCCAAAGGCATTAAATCTGCTTTTCTGCCATGTGAAACATATAATTTTTTCTCCAAATTCGTTCCAATTTCACGTCCAAATAATCAATCATTTTTTTTTGTCAATTTTGATTACCAATTTGATTCAAATTATTACTTGGAACGTTGCATATCAACAAACTTTTTCTACCTACTGCCACTTTAACGTCATTTGGAGAAAAATATATGACCGAATATGCTATCCACTTTTTCGCGCTCTTGAAGATATGAATTGTCACAAATCTAACACAATAGAAATAGGGCAGGAAGAAAATCTTACAGTCAACTCCACAAAAACTATACTTCATTTAACATTGGGACATGTTTTGAAGCTTCAGAGCTTCATCATCAGCAAAAATTATTTGTTACAGGAAGTACTAAATAAGAAAGACAAAAAGCTACGTCAGACAAACATTTGTCTTTCTAATTGTAGTACTTCCTGTAACAAATAATGTTTGCTTATGATGAAGCTTTGAAGCTTCGAAACATGTCCCAATGTTAAATAAAGTATAGTTTTGGTGGAGTTGACTGTGAGATTTTCTTCCTGCCCTATTATCTTCACTTCAATGTCAGATGGATCGACTCAGATGGTTACAATAAAAATGTTTTTTCTGTGACGGGAAAAAAGTTTGGCATTTCATCTCTGTTGGCAGGTTATAAAATGTCACTTTTCATAAATTACTTTTTTCCCGTGGGAAAAAAGTGAGTACTTCTTTCCCGGATATATATCACATATATATGCTCTGTTAATGGCTTTTGTTGTGCTATAGTTCCGAAAAATGAGTCAATAATACCGTCTCCGAGAAAGAACTGCAAGTCCTTTTATCTTCCATTCAACTTCGCGGTTTCGTTTATTACTAAACAACTACTGAATTCGCAATTTTTTGAAATCAAATCACAGAATTGAACTGACAGATGTGACATCAGATATTTGATTACTTCAAAAGAATGATAAAGATGTCTATAAAACGCAGGTGTCCCTACTGTTAAAAACTTGAAATTTCACGTCGATAATTTTCACATTCCGAAATAATGTAATATCTCCTCAATATTGATTCGTCCTTTCTTCTGTCACAGAAAAAAATAGTGTATTATACACGGGAAAAATATTAGATTTTAGCTCACGGTTTTTTGTCTCCCTCCGCTACGCGTCGGGAGACAACACAACCTGGAGCTAAAATCTACTACTTTTTTCCCTTGTATAATAAATAACTATTTTTTCTCCGTCGTTAGTTTTTCAAAATAAAAAATCTCTTAGACTAGTACTTGACTAGCAGAATTCCTCTAAAAGCGCGCCAATTTATTGTTTGTTTTGAACATAATTATGTGGGGATTAGAATTTTGATTTTTGAATTATTGATGAATAAAGAGATATCCGTATATTAACCACAATTAGAGCATACGGAGTTGAATGTAAAATATAAATATTTTATCTGGGCAGTAACTTGGTGATGAAAATGATTTTTGTTCTGCAAAAATTTAGATTCCTGCTGATGTAGGCGATGCAGGTTCAAAAAGTTGTTACTATACCTAGTTGCTCTTTCTGAACAATGTGACAAGCAACTAGAGACAGGACGCACCAAATGTGCGTCTCGTCATTGGCCGGAATCGCTCGCAATATTTGATGCGCTCAGTCTCTAGACGCTAGAGTCAAGTTGTGAGAGGGTATGTCGATATAGAAAATATTTGTTTAAAATGCCGCTCATACTAAAATTCTTCGATACAAATTAGAATTCAGTGCCTATCAACATTTTGTCTGAAGTTTAGTGTTGAGTGCTATTTATTGACCATTCTACAACACGCGATTTTGACATGGTTTCTTGAGGGGCACACAAACTATCTGTTAGGTAACCTTTGAATGAGCATAGCCCTGGCCATCCCTGCCATGTCCACAATATAATAACAGTTTCACCAAACAAAATTATGAAATTCTTTCTGGTTCCAAGGAAAACGATCCCACTAATTCTGGTGTCATATAACAAAATACAATGTTTGTCCCTCAGCAACCTGTCAAATGACGTAATTCTTTGATGATTAATCCATGTCCACGACAGCCTGCTATTTCTATGTCATCTTGTTTTATATTTATCAAGCTACCAATAATTTGCGATAGAAAATAAGCGTACGCCATCTATCGAAGTTTTTGAAAGCTGTCAAAGCGGTCTATTTACTTTGTTTTCATTGGATCACATTCGTTTCGCATTTGGGATTATTGGTCAATCCTTCAAAACAAACCGCTCAGTAGTGTTTAAATTGTTGTCGTCAGATGGGGCGACGTGTTATTTTCTATCGCGGATGGGGAAGCGAAATACAAAATTGAAAACAGAGCCATGTCGGTATCCAGTAGCCAATCAAGAACCGAAATACCAACATGAAATCATACCGATTATATCTGCTTGCTCAAGAATAGTTGGTTTTTTGAACATTAAAGCAACTTTGGATGTTTTCTTCTTTGTAGAAAATAGACACACCCGCCTTTCTGTTTTCTCATTAGTATAGTAGTAGTATATACTCTATAATTTTATCGCAATTATTCATAATATATCGATGTTGTTCTTCAGATAGGGGCATTGATGCATTACATATACCTATATCCTCCATCCCAAATATAAAATTATAAATTATAAACTCAAATGAAAAATCTAACATCCAGGACTTCTACGCGCTAATCGAATCCTCTATTCAAAAAAATAAAAGTATTTTGCACCACGACATAATTGACATATGACAAATCATATTTGACCTTGGATGTGCCAAGATGGTTGTGTCGGGAGACGCTCGTCTTGTACGGTCTATACAGTGCTTTTCTTTAATGTCCCCGCCCATTTTATCTTTCAACGGGACAACGAAAAAAATTTAAATTTCGGATAATGAAATTGATGCATGAATACTATATTTGAAAAAAAAAATTGACAAATGAAAATATCAAGATGGCGACTGGGCGTCATCTGGGGAGAAAAAATCAAATGGAGAGGGGGGTCTTGTGACACATCCTTTTGAAGCTCCTGACGAGTACTTCCCGACTGTGAAATATAAAATCAATATCTTCATCTACTTCAAAATGGCGGAACATATCAACACACCAAAATGGATATTGTATTCTAACAAGATGGAGCACCACCACATTACTCCAAACGAGTTAAAAACATTTGGATAATAGCTATACTCGGTAGGCCAGGTAGCCGTGTGGACAGAGTGTCTATATTCTAATCCGCATTCGCTTGCCGGTCGTGGGTTCGATTTCCGTCGACTGCAGAAATTTTTCTGATGGCCCAAGAAAGTGTTTGGGAGCACACGTTTTAAAGGTAAGGCCCCCGTCATTCCTTGCTGGCACAAGACTCTCGAAGACTTCTGAGGGTTGCTCGTGAGGGGGCAACCGAATGACGGATAGAACAATTTTAGAACAACAACAACAATTCTGGATGTTGGATCGACCGTCGAGGTTCTACGGAATGGCCAGCCCGCTCGTCAGATTTGAAACTTTGAGATGTTTTTCATGGGTCAATTTGAAGTAAAATGTGTAAGAAAGTGTACCTGCTTCGATATCATATATATGACAGAGAATGATAAATATTTGTAGAAATATCGACGTGTAACTGTGTTCGAGAGAGTTCGACGTAAAATATTGGATAGACTGTTCTTATGTCAAGAAGTTCAAGACAACCATTTCTAACATCTTCTGAACTGAACTCAGATTATGAAGTAAACGTCGATGAATTCAGGCCATTATTAAATATTCCGCCATTTTGTAGTAGGTGAAGATATTCACTTCATATTCTAGGAATGTGAAGTATTTGTCAGGAGCTTCAAAAAGATGTATCACAAGACCCCCTCTCCTTTCAAATTTTTCCCTATATGGCGCTCAGTCGGTATCTTGGAATTTCCATCTGTCAATCTCACTCTAAAATATAGTATCCATGCAACAATTTCATTACCCCAAGTTTCAATTTTTTCAGTCTACTCTTTCGAGAAATGAGGGGGAGGGACTTTAAATAAAAGCACTGTATAAACCACAATAGAGAAGTTCAGTTAGCGTTGAGAAAGAAAAAAATGTTCTTGTCTTCAGTGTTCCAACGTAAAATAATGGAAATTTTATGTTGGTAACATTGGGAATAGGAAAAAAAATGGAGAAGATGATTATATTAACTTTAATATAAAAAAAGGTTAGAATGGTCTTCTGCTCCATTTCTTCTCATTTTCAGTATTGCCAACATAAAATTGTCATTATTTTATGTTGGACCACTGAAGACGAGGACAGATAGAGGATACATTTTTTTCTCTCTCAACGCTAGTTGAACTGCTCAATTCCGTATCGGCCGTTTTGAGATGATTCTGACGTCACTGATCCAGGATTTAACGTACCTATGCCTTATGCAAAATTTTCCATTCCAAGAATTTTCATTGAAATATGATAACTACAAACATAAAATATCTTTTAATGTATAAATAATTAAAAATAACATTGTAAAACAATGAAAATATTCTGACCTAGGAGCTAAAACATAATGGGTTTATTTTTGGTTTGATTTATGATATAAGCAGTAAAGCGCTTCAAAAATTTTGGATACTCTCTTTTGTACACTGCTCTCAAGACAGAAGCAGGAGCCCATCCACCAGGATTTACTGAAATATAAAAACAGAGATGTTTTACAATATAAAACAAATTACTGAATGGGAGATTTACAACGTTTCAGGCTCTGCATTTCCCATGATTTGAGTTACTGGGTGTTTTACTGACAAATTCTGACTCGAAAAGTTCCAAGATGAAAGCGAAAAACGTCGAACGATAAGAGAAATTTCAACTCTTTTCAATATGCTTCTTCAAATATTTTTCAAACAAGGTGGCACTGACTATTGATTAAATTTTTCTGTTAGGTTCCTAGTAGTGTGTTTTTCAAACACATTGCCTATGCAGAATATGCACTAAATCTGAGGTAGGTATTTTTTTTCATTAGTTAATGACTTCCACTGTGGTTGGTTTTGAACTTGATGATAATTTTAATAGAAAATGTACTCACCAACAGAACAATAGGTTATTTTACATGATACATTTTCCCTAGACAATGGTGTGCCATCTTTTGGAGGGTCCACTCTAGTCTGGCACATCAGGCAAACCTTCAGAAATATCCTAACGCATTTACCATTGTTTGCCTGAAACAAGACATATAATATTATATTTCATTTACTGACCAAAATGATGAAATAGGGCAAAAATTAGATTGATCAACAAATTTTAAAAAAAGAAAAAAAGTGAAAGACATAAATAACTCCTTATAAGCACACGGTCAATAGCTCAAAAATTGTCAGACTAAAATATTCCTTGTTTTAGTAGACTTTTATTTGAACATTGATTTCTATTTTCCCATCACAAATGGTGACCCTTTGTATCACCCTAATATTTTCAAGTAATAGTCTTCTGCTGATTTAGGTATTGGAAACGCCAGATGACTAGAACTAGATTTTTCATTTCGAAATGTACTTATAAATATAGAACATAATCAAATCTCTTTCCATCTACAAAGGTATTAAATAGCGGCGTGGATCCCAGGTTCGAGTTATAGGTCCAGGAAAATATTTGAAAACATAGATATCATTCATGAGAACTTATGAAAGTCTAAACTCATATTTCATCTCTAATAATATGTTATTCAATTATATATAATAACGATTTTTAAAGGGATTATTCCGTTTTGCTATTTATTCCTCTGTTAAAATACTGCTAATTCTTAATTACATTTCCCAAAAGTCATATGGTTGCAATACGTGGCATTGAAAAAGTTCTGGGTTTGATTTCAATACATTTTTTATTCCAAATATGCTTTCAGCGTTTTTATGGAATGAAACAATGATTTTTTTCAATTTTGATCTGCAAAAAAACACTTCACTTGTAACGTACATTAGTTTAAAACATATTATTTAAAAAATGGCCGCTGACTGAGATTGTGAAATCTCATTCCTCAAAGGTAACCTATGCCAATATCAATTTTCTACTCACAGGATAATCCGGATGTTCCGTAGAATTATTCACCACTGTCCAAATGTCTGGTCCGTCCCTGTCTTTCTCGTTGGGAAGTTTCCTGATGTGCGACCAGAACACCACGTCCCGCTGACTGGCCGGCCATATTCGTTTGTGGGTCTGCATGAACATCAGCGTGTCGTCGGATATTGTTTCCAGCACGTTCATTTGTTCCAGTGTTGCTGAATGGACAAAATGACGTTGACATATTTGTTAATTAGTTATGTTCAAATGAGAATATGCAGTACAAATGAACCTAATATGGTCTAAAAACACAGTTTTCATAATATGTTCCTTCCCAGTTGAAAATAATTCTCCCTGGATCTCAGAGAAGTTTCTCCAATCACCACAATAACTGCTTCAAATATTTGTTGATTCATTTTCAAGATTCTTAACTTCTAGTATCATAATTTTGAAATGATGTGGAGCCCCAATATATAACCTATTATGTAAATTTTCCAAGCAAGGACATGAAATTTCTCGTTTTATTTGTAAACGTCATTCTGTTGACCACCGCTACCAAAATGAAACAAATAAAACGCAACTATGTCTCAGTGAGATAACCCACTCTACTATCAAGTATAATTAACTATCAACAGGATAGTTCATATCCAATCAGAAGGGTGAACGACATGACGTCACGCCTGTCAGTGACGGTTGCTGTTTTATGAAGAACCTCAAGGATTCGTCCCTAACCTCAAATTTTGCTTTGACGAACGTTGAATGATGAGGATTTACAACATTGATAAAAAAATTATACCAAGGCATAAGGATAAGAAGTGTTTTGAAATTCGTTTCGGAAATGGCTGGAGAAAGAGAGGGAGCTCTTCATTTGATTTCTGTATGTGTATTCCTTATTCATCAGAAGGTAAATCACTGAAATACTTCCATAGGATGTGATTGTGAATACATATACGTTGATTGTGATTAAATGGTCATTATTTTTTCAGGTTGACTTGATGATTCTACAATAATAATTGTGAACCGTTTGAATATAGTTTAATCTGGAGGATTATTGAATCATTATCGGAGCTACTTTTAGAATTAAGATAGCAGTGCTGTGAAATATTGTCATATCTACCACTTCAGGAACCTAATGGTCCTGCTAGATATTCAGTCTCAAATTTTTGATTTTGGATATTTCGAATCTAGGAGTTATTTTTTACACAACTTTGTAAAATTATACCTACATTGGCCTAGAATAATGATATAATTCGACCAGATTAGATCATAAACATTTTCCCCACAATTTCAAAGTTTACTTTCTCCTGAAGGGGTCATATAATTTTGACATTTACACTAACTAGGTTGATTCATCAGAAAGTGGAAATGATGTATTAATCTTCATTCACATGTTTATTTAATATTATAGGTACTCAGAGTACATGTTGTTTTTACTGCCTGTTTTTATAATGTAAGGATAGTATGAAAAATGCACTAGGAATTTGTTAGGAATGCAGAGAATGATCAATGATAGAAAACTCCATTTCGAGGGGCTCTGAAGTGAAATGCATAAGGAACAATAAATTCTGTTCAGTGTCCTCGATGTTCAAATTACTATATGATATAGAAAACTTGTCGGATGTTAATCGATGAACTATTAGAATAACGAAATGAACATATCAATAATTTCATAGGATTATTCAGTCAGAGAATATAAGCAATAAACCTAAAATCCTTAATATCAGGAAAATGTCTGTTGTTGAAATTATTTCCTTGTATATTCTTCCACTTTTTTTTTAAATGCCAACCAACCTCTAGTATATTCGGCATTTTTTTTATTTTATTTTGAAACTGTTGTTTTTTGTAATGTATGTATCAGTTTTTCCACACATTTGAATCCATTTGCCACCATCATTATTTTGTCTTTCGGAAAGGAATGGTAAACAATGCCTTCCGTTTTTGTGCTATAATTTTTACAAGAAATCGCACAACAACGTACACCACCTCTCCCCATATTCTAAAATTCAAGAAATAATAAGGGTGAGTTGAGTATAATATGTGATGAAAACTTATACCATACAGTACTTACTTATTAGATATTTATATATCATAGATAAATCTCTTCAACAAAAATATAGATCTCTGTTGGTGAGTACATATAATATTATTCTAGCCGCCAATAGTTATTTATTATACAAGGGAAAAAAGTGGTAGATTTCAGCTCCAGTTTGTGAAGACAAAAAGCCGTGAGCTGAAATCTAATATTTTTCCCGTGTATAATACACTATTTTTTTTGTGACAGAAGAAAGGACGAATCAATATTGAGAAGATATTATATTATTTTGAAATCTGAAAATTATCGACGTGAAATTTTAAGTTTTTAACAGTAGGGACACCTACGTTGTAGGCATCTTTATCATTCTTTTGAAGTAATCAAATATCTGATGTCACTTCTGTCAGTCTAATTTTGTGATTTGATTTCAAAAAATTGCGAATTTAGTGGTTGTTTAGTAATATACGTAACCGCGAAGTCGAATGGAAGATAAAAGGACTTCTTTCTCGGAGACGGTATTATTGACTCATTTTTTGGAATTGTAGCACAACAAAAGCCATCAACAGTGTATATATAATTATGTGATATGTATCCGGGAAAAAAGTACTCACTTTTTTCCCACGGGAAAAGTTATTTATGAAAAGTGACATTTTATAACCTGCCAACAGAGATGAAATGCCAAACTTTTTTCCCGTCACAGAAAAAAAGTGTTTAACCACAAAACATGGAACACTCTATTTACGCCGTGCACCGATGAGCGTTTGTGTGGTGAACGACATGACGTCATATTTATGAACCGTATATTGACGGATAGGGTATGAACCATCCTGTTGAAAGTTAACAATCCTTGCTCTACTATAACACACAGTCAACTCACTTTCCCAGTCGTATCTGTACTGAGGGGTGAAGAAGTAGTGGCACACCTCGTGGCCAGTGATGCCCTTGACCACGTGGACGGCCTTCAGCGGGTCCACCACCATGCCGTCCAGCTCCTCCTCCCGCCTGTACATCTTCATTTCGCCATCTTCGGCGAACAGCTGCCACCCCGAGCCGCACTCGCCGATCCCCATCCTGGCCATGGCCACCTGCTGTTGCACCACTTTGTCGATCTGCAAGCATAATGGGGTTGTACACCCTAGTCGAATTTACGCCACATACCCATTTCATATTGAACATTCCGTGTATAAATAGTATTTGATGCAATCATCAGTGCCGGTTTGAGATGGTTTGCTGCCTGGTGCTATGATGTACGCGCCCCTTCAGACTCAAAACAATTCCTAATCTTTCAGGTCTTTGGATTTTTTCCCATGACACATTTTTGTGACAATAAATTCTATAGGAACGTTGGACGTTTTCTGGGATGAGATTAAAACGACAAACTCGCGTTTTGGGTGCCGCGTACCATTAGACCGGCATAATCATATAAGCAGTGTACCTATACCATATAAGTTCTATGTACACCAGTTTTATTTATAGAAGTTTGATGAACAAAATGAAAAAGATAGTTTAACAGAAAGCATGTTGTGGAATAAAATTGAAAACATAATTCTTTATTGTTCACATAATGAATAACAAGGAAAATGAATAGGTATATGTTAGAATAAAAAAGAAAAATCAAATGATAATCGGCAAAGTATGTAACTAGAAACATAGTAGTAGTAGGTGGGGAGGCTGTAGCCAAGCAAGTAGGCCCCGATGGGCCTTTTTTGCTAACCCCTGCTCTCCACATATATACGCTTCCTTCGCCTAGATTTCCTTTACGAATCTCCCTGACCTTCTGATGAAGGCCAGTATGTCCGTCCACACTGATATAATCAAGTCCTCCTGTTGGAGTTTGTCTACTCCAAAGATTTCAAATTTCAGCCTTCCGTACGTCTCGCACTCGCCGAGGAAATGGAGTGACGTTTCCTCGTCTTTCCCGCATCTGCGGCAAGTAGGGTTGTCCTTTAATTCATTATTTCAGAAATGGGCGACATTTGGAAAAATTCCAAAAACACGTGAGGTTTCATTTTTGAAGCCTCTTCTCATGATACCCATATGAGAGATGTTACGTCACCGGTGGTGGAGTAATGACGAAATGAACGATTTTTTCAAATGAAAACAGAGGTCATGTGACACCTCGTTGGAAAGGTCTACTGATCGTCTATTCAACAGTCAAGATTTTGCATAAGAAAATTGAAATTAAAATGGATTATCATTTGATTAACTGAATCTTGCAGAGGTCTGCTACTGAGAATTGAACAACGAAGGGTCGTCTATTTAAAAAATACATCAATTAATAAAGTTCTGAAGTCTATTTTTTGGATTTTTTCGGAAGTCGTCTTGTTTTGAAATGAATTTATTCCATACATTTGCATCATACTATATATATATATAAGTGATAGGTGTCTGCCTAGCCTGTTGTGTCCTGTAACTTGGAACATAAAGTAGCCTTTATGTATAATCCTCTTCACACGCTCTATACATTAGTTTCATTTAGTTGATCTTGTTTGAGTTGAGACACAATTGTCAACTCAAAAATTTCGAAAACAAATATTCATATTGGGAAAAGAAGTTATTATTATTATTCTCGTGTAGAACTTGGACTAATTCATAAAAGGAGTTTCTGCTACAGTTTGTAGGAGAGAAAACTTTTTTTTTTCTCAGATGAATAACATTCGTCAGAAACAAATTTGTCCAGATCCTCTACATACTTTTTTGTAGTTTAGTTGCCTATTTGATCAAATTTCCATCATCTGCTGAAACTATCTTGAACAGAAAGTCAAATGATTCTGAACAAGATTTGTAGGTGAAAGTCCGACGAAAACGAAAAATTTCAAATCTTTGTCCACCTTTTTTCTCACTAGTTTGAACATTTTGCCATATTTTTTCTCCTGATGGTGCTTTTCTTGGGATGATTCACTTCTTAACATAAATTTCTGTTTATGTATAGTGTAGTTATCGAATCTTTCGCGAGAAAAATCAAAATATCCAGATAATGACTGATGACAAAAGATGTCCAGTTTTATTTTCATATAGTCGCCCTGAAGATTTTGCTACCTGGTGCTATTGCACCCAAAAGACCCCTGGTAAAACAGGCACTGGCAATCATTCGTTTTTTGAAATCATCGCAAACATTTTTTTTTCATTAATTCAATTCGCCGACTTCGAAAAACGCCAGGTTCGATGACGTCATAAACCGCCTCCTCCTTGATTTCTGGAATGTTTTCGAAAAGTATTCACAGAGTTTGGATACAATATATCTGCATCTAATTATTTTCAACTCTTGGAGCGCACGGAAGGAAATTCCTATAATGTTCGAAGAACATCGTGCGTACCTTGAGAGGATAGGGAGAGGAGCTTGGTGATAATCCTACTTATTATCTAGTAGTTACTCAGAAATATAAATTATTTGAAATTAGTATACAGATGGAAAGTGTATTCATATAATTAAAAACTGAAATATTCATGATCCCTTACAAATATCTATATATTTTCGAGGTCACTGACACTCACCAACTCTGTGTCAGCAAAACATACCCAAAATTCCATGGGGGAAATGATAAAACCGTAAATTTGTCCGTATATGGATCCATAAAATCACACTATGAACATCCTTCCTCCAAAGCAGATATTTGATTTGTTTATAAGGAAGCAAAATTGCGCAAACTATAATTAACGATCTAATTATAGCTTTCAAACTGCTTCCAGTTTCCTAATGATAGTTTATCCAAAAATGTATACCATATCAGTGTAAATCAATATATATATAGCCTATAAAATATGAGACATTTATAGGTTATTCACTGGAACTGAGAGTTGAATATTAATTGCGTTTGCATAATTTTTGCAATTTGAAATCTAAACAGAAGTTTGGGATGGGTGCTCGATTGGGTGCAACATTCCAATGAAATATGAAGGCAGATAATTACTCAATAATATGAATATTTCCATTAGGAACGTTCTAATGAAATGTTATTATTATTATACTTGATAGGAATTATTCATAAACATTAACAAATTTTGGCAGTATGAACAATTGGTTATTCCCTGATATGTGAATTGATACTATCCAAAATACAGAATGGTGGTACTGATATCCACACCAAATAATAAGACGATAAAGAACTGTTGAACTTCAACCACTCAAAATAGCCCATATCATGGACAACCGCAAAACGCGCTTAGTGCCGAAAAAGTTCGAACTAGTCCGACGAGTGAAAAACGCTATCAGTGTTCACGCAGACTGAGTGAGAGGTCGGAAAGTATCCATACTGGTGGGTATCGATACTTCGATAGTAAACGCACCACAATATTGATATATCGATACTTGGCATCGATACTCCGATACTCTGCCCAGTATGGATATATCGATACTAGAAAATAAAGCATTTCATCAATCATCAATTGCCAAAAAGTCAAAAGTGTCACTGTCCAACATTCGAATGTAGCATAGGAGCAATTTTATTGCTCTGAAACTGATTATAATTCTAAAAGTCTATATATTCGCGGGAATCAATGTTACCAGGTGGCGCTCGGTTTTCATCGTTCCATGTCAAAGCCACGTCAAAACTGGGGGAAAACAAACTCAATCCTCACTCAATCCCATTGGTGTCATTAGCTTGTGTACTGTGTACTGATAAGAGTGATAAGTTTTTACATTTCTTGACATTAATTGTCAATATTCGATCGAAAACGCTAATAATGCCTGTTGTAGATGTTCTTTTGGCAGATATTTTGTTCTATCAAGATAGAAAAAGCCTACCAGTAGTGGAAGGAGAAGCAGTTTTCCGTGCTAATCATGTGATTTTGTGTGAGGCAGAAGACTTCAACAAAAGGCACATTTTCGCACTTTGTCTACAAACTTCGGCGATGAAATTTTCCCCACATGAAGTAAAATAATTGAAGTTGGGGTCCAGAGGAACTCCTGTAGAACAATGGATTTGTATTTGTTCATGCAAAGCAGAAAAATCGGGGTATTGTAAACATGTTGTAGCTGTTCTTTTATATTTCAATTGATTTGCTCGTCACAATTAGATTGAATTGTTTGAACTATTCTTCACCCGTTCACTGTTCACTAAACTAATAAAAATGTAATAATGTAAAAAAATTAACCAACTCAACCATCATCATACCAACAGTGCCAACACTTTATGTCATTGACAAGTTTGACTACAGCTACAGCAAGCTGAATGCAATGTAGTCTATGCACTTTATCCATAGACAACAGTTTGTTTTCCCCCAATTTGAAGTTCGTATTATGTAACCTAGATGTCGCCCACTTCGTGAATCTCGCGAATATATATAGATTTCCTAAACTATGAATTCTATGCATAGATCAGAACTCCAAACCGAAGGTGACATATGGCATTCGACAAATATAATGTCATCTGTCAGTATAGATATCAAATAAAAATGTATCGATACTTCGACCTCTAGACTGAATATTCTTTGCAGATTATCGCTTGTAATACAACAAGTGTATTGATGATTATCGAAACACAAATTCCTTCGATTTTGAGAAACAAATTGTGTTGCTTGGAAACCACACGAGCGCATAGCGCGAGTGTGGTTGCCTAAAAGCAACACAATTTGTTTCGAAAAAGAGAAGGAATTTTCGATAATCATCAATTACACGTACGTGTTGTATTTGTCAAGATTATTTCATGAATGAAAAATAAACCATTTTCCCTACCTATTTATTGTTAATATTTATATTGAATGTACAGTTATCGCAATTATTTATTTTGACATAGTGACATTCATCATTACTGCTACTAGATGCAACCGTCGTGGATATATCCATATTATCTTCTTTTCTGAGGTTTGATATTATATCAGCATGATGTTCTTTGCTCAGTTGTAAATATGGTTTCAATGGCATTGAACTACTGTGCCCAGTAACTTTTATTATCTGTTGTTCCCCAATTCCAGAACTTGCCAATTGACTCACAGCTGTAGATCTGTTTGAATGGTTTGATATTTTCACGTTTTTTGTATCTAAACCGATCTTTTCAGTTGACAATTTGGTCCATTTACTTATTTCATTTATACCCATTGGCATATTTTTGAACCAAGGACTTTTATGATCTTTATTCCAATTACCATTAACTGTCAAAAATAGTCGATCAGTTTTAATGTTCTCTCCCCTTTTTGACATCAATTTCTTGAATAAACGAACTGGACAATTTTCTTGATTTTCTTTATTTGACACAAGCCATTTACTTTCTGCAATATTTTTTGATCCACCTTATGCGGTTTTCGCGAATATAGGGTTATATTCCAGTCTTCCAGTTGGTGTTCCCTTGTTATTTATTTCTTCCTTGAAATAATGAATCAAACATCGGCATGCTTCACCGCCCCGCCAAGCTAATTCCACTGCTGTAATATGATACAGTTTCCTTTGTAATCCATTTGGAGTATTTTCATCCCAACTTTGGATAATTTGTGTCAATTCTTCCGATGTAAATGAAACGCATGACTTTTTTCGTTTTTCCGGAATATTTTGTAGTTGTTTTCTTTTAGTATTTTTGGCATTTCTAGCAATTTCAAATGTTATATCTTTGAATGGATCAAATTTTCGATTGTATTCATGATAGTATTTTTCTTGGAGTAATTTAGCTGTATTATTCCAAATAGTTTTCACTACCATGTCCTTATACTCACTGCCATCGGTTTTCCGCATATTAAATGCCCATTCTGTGAGAATATTGGCAAGTCTTTCATCAGATGTATTTTCGTTTAGCTGATGATTTCGCTGTTCACAAAATTCTGTGAATTGTTTCCAAACATACTTTTTGGAACGCACGGTATTTAAGTCTTTGACTTCATTTCTTATTTCTTCTACACTATATTTACAGAAACGATTTTCACTGTCCATTTTCAAGCTATACACCACACCTAGTAACGATATTTATCAACATATAAACAGTTTTGTTTTCTTTGATTCCTTCACAATAGGCCACAGCCTTCTCAATTGAGTTTCCCGCAATCGTGATCCCGCATTCACTCTTCCTCTTCACTCGCGATCGAAGGTACTAGGGATGTTATGCAACTAACAATACATTAAAGCGTTGAATGGATAAAGCAGCGTACATCATAGGGAGTGAGAAGAGAGAGATGTAGAGATGTCACGTCAGTCGTGGTTGAAAAATTATTCCTATTTTAGGTTATATCATGCGAATCATGCTCAATCAATAATTATTTGGAATTGTCTTATAATAATTGTGAGGACAATTCAAATTGTGATAGTGCCTATTGAGTTTTGAATAGAAGTGTAGTGTTTTTATTCCCTGAACACGAATATATTATGACAGCATTTATATCCTGCTGTCATGCTACAAAAACTCAAACAGTAAGTAGCCAATCAGGTGCCGAAATACAAAATCGATAACATAGTGTTTTCGATTATCAATACAGCTGTTACAACCAATCAAAAGCGTGAATTTTCAGATGAATGAAATAATCAAGTGAATAATCAATTGTATCCTTACTTCCGGCCAAAGACGATGTTGGCATGCCGGCGAAGTAGGAGGTGGTGTGACAGGCATCACCTGACCGCTCTTCAACCGTTCCCTCAATTCCTGCTCCTCCTCCATTTTGTCCAGCCCCGATTCTACGGCATCGTAGAATTCGTCGTCCGCCAGGACGCTGTGCGGTCCCTCCTGAAACAGTAAAAAATTCAATGAATTTCTGAAATGACCACTGTGGAAGTATATTTTAGGACTAGAACGAGCGTTTCTATATATACGGAAACGTAGGTCATGCATTTTCATATGTTTTATACAAACAATGAAATGTTGCCACATCTCAGTTGCCACACTCATGACTACTTTTCATTGAATTAATTTCCAAAAAGTCGAAAATATTGGTATGTGATAGATCTTTGGCTTAATTATTGTTATGAAGTGCTTTGTCGAAGACTTTTTGGTCAACATGAAAAAAAAAAGGAAGTTTCATAAGTAGGGGGCGAGTTTTGTGTGACCCCATCCTATCTTAATAATATACAGGGTAAACAGAAATAAATATATAGATATTTTAAATGAAATGCGCCGTATATTCAAATTTGACCTCCTCAATTCATCCTGATTTCAAATATATGATATAAGGAATTCGTGTCTATAGAAATAGACAAATATACAGTGCATTCCATTAAAAATATATACAGGGTGAGTCAAAAATGTGTACCGAGCTTACTGGAGGTGAAAGAACATTGAAAAATAGGCATAGTTTGTAGCATATTGTAGTATTTTTTTCCAAATGTGAACCTAGGGACACTTATGGCCATGGGTCAAGCGAACATTATTTTTTGTTATTTTCTGCTTCAGTTATATTCGACATTTGCCGAATAGGTAAGAGATAGTGAATATAAACTTAACAGAAGCTATTCAAGGAATCAAATAGGGCAAGAGCGATTGAAATATGTATCTTGAATTTCCGTCGAAAGTGAAGATGCCAACAAATTAGTTAGTTTAAATCCAAAGTTATTCATGGTTTTGTTTCTCTTTGATAAACAAAAACGTTGAGTTTCATTTAAAACTCAGGAGATTAATGAAAAAATAGCGCTCGTTGTTTAGCTTGTTCTTTTATTTTTATTTAATATTCGTGATTTGATACTGAAAGGAGGGCCACCTTATGTATTTTGCGATGGGGGTCACAAAATTTTAGTTACGCCACTTAGTGTGAAGGTCCAACATTTGAACAGTTTCTTTGACTTCTAATCACTTTTGTTGTGCTGTTTTGTGATCTGCAAAAATGAATATATTTTCATTGTTTCCTGGAGTGATTGAAGCCAAAGAGTCTCTTCTGTCCCCACCAGCTCAGCTGTTAGTCACAAGTCTCATTAAGGAAAAGGGGATGTAAAGTAGTGGTACCAAGATAGATAGGTTAATATCATGGCGGATCTCTTGAAGAGACACAGGTGTCTATTTCAGTTTACATTATCGTAGAATATAATAATATCTTATTTTTGGGTTCGTCAAATTACCAGAATGAGATTTAATAATAGTTATTCGTCAAGAAATTGAGAATTGAATGAATGATGATCTTTATTCGTATTTGCCAATTTGAATACAGGGGTAATTTTAGTTGTTTTTGAAATAATTAATGCAGGCCAAGAAGATTAATGGCTTCAGAATGGATCTTTGAGGAACCCTCAAGATATATGTATAAATTATATAGTGATAATAATAATAATAAATGATTTCTTTTTCAACATTGAGTGAATCTTATGTAGAATATTGTAATTATATGAATATACAATGAATCATTTGCATTTTTTGTTTCAAGAAACAAAAAATAATGAATAATGTTAGTTTGATATTCAAAGCAGATTATCGATTCAATTTGGAGCTATCGATACCTAGAGTCCCTGTATGTATAATTCCCTGTATATATTTGTCAGTTTTGTTGTAATTACAGCAAAAGTGTCAAATACATACAGGGACTCTATCGATACCCAAGTAATTTTTTGTTGATGAAAATGATGTCCCTACTTTAATGATTAACACTATGATCAGTCGCACTATTTACTCCATCTATTTTGTATTACAAATTATCTATGAGATACTTATTTCCAGAATCGACTTCGACAGTTTCAAATCATGATTTAACATGCAATAAAGAATTTCAGTCTATACAATAAAAGTTAATCATTATACTTGTCATGAAACACAAAACTTAATGTAGCTAAACCATGGCGATATACCGTCAAATGTAGATGACTTCGGACATTTTTACAGTTTTTTGCCATAACTTTTTCAAAATACGTTTTTTCCTCTGAAAATTTTCACAAAACGTAGTACTTGTGTTGTATCGAATTGTGATGTAGAAATTCTGTTTTTGTTTTTGAAACTATTGTAATGATATTTCCCTTGGAGGCGCTTTAGAAACATCAGCAGGAAGGCAGGAGTACAACGATCATCCTGTATCACGCATCCCAGATTGCTCTCCAATCTCTAAATGATTCCTACATACACCAACATATTTCCGAACACTCAATATATGCCGCAGTGACAAAGAACGTCACAGAAGATTCTGGAATGTTCTGGAAACAATCGATGGAACAATTAGAGAGAGAGGTTTGTTCTAAGAAGCTTCTAAAAGAAGGAGACGGAAGATCATTTCGAGAAGGTTCTCGAACTAAAGCCTGCCTGTGTTCTCATATATAAAACGGCCGAACAACTGAGTCAGTCAGTCGAGCAGCGAGTGCCAGAAAGACAGTTATATACCGCGTGATATAAATCGTTTTACATAAATAGTAGTTCTAAGTTCGTTATAAATTAGTGTTCCTATAGTTCAAATAAATCAGTTCGAAAATAAATAGTGTCGTGTTCGCTTCTGCACCCGAATAATGTAACAATTTGTGTCAGAAGAGGGATATTCCAGTGTGAAGTGAACAGACCGTTGCAATGAAGAAACTACACGAGTTGAGAGTGGTGGACTTGAAACGCGAGTTGGAGGAGAGAGATCTCGATACAACAGGGATCAAGGCTACACTTCAGCATCGTCTCATAGAGTATATGGTGAGCGTAGGTCAGGACCCAGAGACGTTCACCTTCGAGGAACCAGCTTCAGCGGAATCGATGTTGGCTGGGATCTCGGAACAGATAGCGGCTCAGCGACAGGACATAGCGGCTCAGCGACAGGACATTGCGGCTCAGATGGTGGCTCAGCAGGAGAAGATTACGGAACAGATAGCGGCTCAGCGACAGGAGATTGCGGCTCAGCGACAGGACATTGCTGATCAGATGGCAACTCAGAGAGAAGAAGTTCTGGCACAAATTACTGCTAAGCAAAATCAAATCGCATCGCAGATCTCAGCTCAACGGCAAGAGGTATTGGATCAGATATCGGCTCAACGGGAAGAGATATCAGCTCAGAAAGAGGTACTAGCTCAGTTTACTGCTCAGCAAGATCAGATCGCCTCCCAGATATCAGCCCAGCGAGAAAAGGTATTAGCTCAGATTTCTGCTCAGCAAGATCAGATAGCCTCTCAGATATCTGCCCAACGAGAAGAAGTATTGACCCAGATATCAACACATCGGGAAGAGGTGCTGACTCAGATTGCTGCTCAGCAAGAACAGATCGCGTCTCAGCAGGATGAGATTATAGCTCAGGTATCAACCCAATTCACCACCCAGATTGAAGAAATGAAGAAGGAGCTGCAGCTCGAAAGAGAAAGAATAGCTGTGCTGGAGAAGTCTGGAAATGGTCAAGGACTCATGAATGAAACCACAGTTGGGCCAGATGCAGTGACTACTACTAATCGAGTAAAACCACCAACATTCGATGGAAAAACATCGTGGCCGAACTATCTGAAGCAGTTCGAAGCAGCTTCCAAAGCCAATGGGTGGACATCCAAGGACAAGGTTGTGGCTCTGACAGTAGCTCTACGGGGTGATGCTTTGAACATCTTGCAAGCCATTCCGGAAGGTGAAGTCGATAGCTACGATCATCTCGTCAAACGTCTCGACATGCGATATGGCCATGAACATCTGCAGCAAGTGTTTCAATCACAAATGAAGAGCCGTCGACAGAGAGCCAACGAGAGTCTTCAAGAATTCGAGGTGGATGTAGCCCGATTGGTCCACTGTGCCTACCCGTCAGCCCCAGAGTCCCTTATGGAATGTCTAGCTGTTCAAACGTTCGTGGATGGATTGCGGGATATCGAAATGCAGAAAGCAGTTCGCCTGACTCGACCAAAAGACCTCACCAGTGCTCTGGCAGCTGCGCTTGAGATCGAGGCCGCAGCAGAAGCTTCCCGAGGATCAGCGAGAGTCCGAACAATGAACGACAGCGGAAACATAGCGGAAAATACCAGGCAAGATCCTAATGAAGCCTTGATAAACGCCATCAAGGGCCTCTTAAATGAGAAAAAGAGACCAGTTCAAACGACTGCAGGGAAACTGAAGCGGGCCGATCACAAGAAACCAGCTTCGACCCGTCATTCTCAAGATCCCCTTATCTTTGTGGCATCCCTACGGCGTGATAACAGCAGCGTCTACGTAGATGGACAGATCGACGGAAAGAAATGCGCATTGTTGGTGGATACTGGTGCATCGAAGACGATCCTGCGACGTGGACTTCTGCCGTCTTCCAGAAAACAACTTGTGAAATCAAGATGGCGTCTGAGAACTGCTACGGGTGAAGCTGCCACCGTTTATGGGGAAATCGATGTGGATATATCGATCGGGACCGTCAAATTTCCACATCGAGCTATCATGGCAGATATTGAAGAAGATGTTATTCTGGGAATGGACATCATGGGTGCGCAAGGAATTCAACTGGACTTTAGAAGCCGAACACTCAAGGTGTGTGCCGAAGAGATCTTTTTACATCCACGGGTGGAGGTAGCGGCAGGGGTAACGTTAGAAGAGGACGTCCTGTTACCGAAAAGGTGTGAGACCATTGTCGCAGCACGGATTGAAGGTACATTGGAGCGAGGCAGTCCCATCATCATGGAACCCTGGAACCATGACGAGGAAGTCGGACGTGGAATTTTAGTCGGCAAGGCTTTACTGTCGGCAGACGATCATGTACCTGTTCGATTTATCAACATAAATAACTACCCTGTGACGATTGGCAGAGGAACCAAGATTGGAACCTGTGTCCCGGCAGCCTCCATAATCCACCAGGTGGCAGCAACCACTGATGGGGCCGACAA